AAATAGATATTTCTTGCCAAAATTGCGTGACCGTGATTTTCATAGCCATGGTAAGGGTCACATTACACAACATTATTCCCCACATCTGTATTTATGACTTGCAGGTGAAGAAGCTAAGACTCCACAAAAATCAATCCCGCTAGGAGTTGTATTGTCTCTCTTAGTTGTATTTTTGGCTTATTTTTCAATGTCCACCGTGATAACAATGATACTACCATATTATGAACAGGTAAAGTACGAATTTTGAAAGATTAATAATAACTAAGTACAAATCAACAAAAACAATATTTGACAATCTAAAAAATGAGAATTTAGAGATAGGACGGGAAATTCAATAGTACTAAGGAGGACTAAAGAGAACTAATATCTGCTAATGCAAGGGACAGTCTGATATCTAGGTACTTAGTAGTCCAGTGCTCCAAGGATCTGAAACGCGATTCTCCCAGTAAGCTGATCGACTTTTTCAGAAAGTTGGAGCTGTTAGAAGAACTTCACAGGGTGTTATGAACTTTTCTTATCAGAAACAACTACGTTAGAAAGAACAAGGTTAATTTGAGTTAAACTATCATCCAAAACGTAAAATAATTTGAAAAAACACAGTATTGTTGCGACCGCAATGCCATTCCACTTTGACTTCTATTGTTTGTTCCTCCGCTGCCTTTCTTGTCACTAAGTTTGGTGGCGCCACGGTTTTTCTAGAGCGCACTCTAACAATAATAGTCCAGCGTACAGAGGAAAAAAATAGGTATTCCATGTAAAAAAGCTTAGCAGATACCTGAAAGTTTTAAATGGAAGCGGGGAGTCTTTCTAACGACAAAAAAATATTGTGCGACCAATAGGAGCCAAGTTTTTTTTTTAAATTCATATCTCCTTTATTTATAAACAATAAAACTCGAAATTTTCACCGATTTTGATCAAGGATCGTAATTTTGTGATCCAATTTATAATATTACTATTAGTTCAAAGGTCTTCAAGAAATAGCCACATAAACTGAAGGTACTCGCGTAACTATTTCAGGGTGAGGTAGTGCGGAATCAGCTCTAGCTCGATTTGTTTTTCAAAATTGAGTCTACAAATCGGAGCGCGCCGTGAAATTTTGCATTATCTTGACTTCTAAGCAACGCAGACCCTTCTTTTTTTAACTTGAGTAACTTGGCGAAATAATGACATCTGGCAGATTTTCATTTTCCTGCAAAATCGGGAAATCCTGGAAAGCTTGAAAGTAATTAATTTGTTGCATAAATTCTTGAAATTGAAACCTCCAAATTATACTCGTATTTCACTTTTGTAAGATGTTCTAGGACCATATCTTGGGCAACAACTATTAAACCGATCCGGCTGAAATTTAGATCACTTATTAACACCAATGATGCCCTCATTCTCACGAATTTTTAGCCATTTATAATTGTTATTGCAGTGGTTATAAATATTTATTCAATATTGCTAAAAAGCTTCGTATTTAGCTTAATTATTGTCTATCGATTCTTAAAAAACAAAATTGAAGGCCTTTTCATGCTCTACATTATACAAAAGTTTAAATTTTGGACTTTTCCTATTGTCTATAAAAACAAGGCATATCTGGCTGTCCCTTTTTTGTATTTGTCATAAGAAATACTTCCTTTCCATTTAAAGCTTTCAGATATGTGCTATGCTTTTCTCATATTTTTTTATCTAGCCTGGACTAGCAGAATAAAAGTCGCAGTAGAAATTACTAGAATCGATGCTAGAAGCACTGTTGCTGAGGCTGTCTTTTTTAGCCGAACTCCGATTTTAGTGCCTCGTGGTACACCTTGCTTTTTTTTGTTCTATTTGTCAGTCACTTAGGGCCCTTATCACAACCGTCACAAACAACAAATTTACTGCTTCAAGTTTGTGGGGGTTACCCGAAGGTGACCTTAACCATGACCTTCAGATCAAAATTTTCAAAAGAAGTCATTTATGTTTATCCTGGAATTGGAAAAACATGAAATGTTACGCCAAATAAGACCTTGACCTCAAATTCAAGGTCATGTCAATTTTAAAAGTCATTGGAAAGGCAACCCATTGATTTGTATGTCAAATTTGCAGACTTGTACACATTCGTCTAACATTCTAGTATTCAGTTTGCTGATGACTGTCGAATTTATAATTACTTCCATAGTAGCAACACTCAATTTGCTGAATATGAAATTAATGAAGATATAAAATCTATTAGTGCATTTGCAGAAAATCATAACCTCAAACTAAACCCTTCAAATGTGATTATTTTTTTTAGAGCAAATTGTGTTCTTGATATGGCTTTTAAGAACTTGGTGAGAGTGGTGACAGTCAAGGACATATTCAGACATACAATTACTCGTATTGTTTCTCTTTCCAATTCCGGTGTGAAAAGGAGAAGTTCCATTTGAAAATATTCGCTAGACTTTGGTATGAACTCCTTGATCTTTATGTCAAAATTGGAGAGCAAGACATTTTTTATTTGGAAGGTTGAAATTTTCACATGATCTTGAAGGTGATGATTATTTTGGTCAAGGTCATCTTTGGGTAGCACCTACTGTGCTGTCAAACATTTTTGCTAGACCAAATTTTTTTTCGATGTGTTGATTACAACTTGATATGGCTTTAAAGAACATGGTAATGGTCATAGTCAAGGTCACATTTTTTCTCTTTCTAATTCCGGTACAAAAAAGGCGGAGTTCCATTTTAAAATATTTACTAGACTTTAAAATGATCGTCACAGACAAGGTCGCCACTATTTTGTTCCCTCAAAACCCTACAACATTTGCTTGTAGATTTTTATCTGCGCCTCGTAGTTTTTGGATTATTTAGAGAGACTAAAGTGGGATGGCATTGGGGTGTCCCACCACATTATTCCGTAATTATGTACAAAATTTATTCAAATAAAATCATTTTTACTGTGTGATCTGTGTCTCTTATCACAGTATAAAAAACAGAAAATCGCAGTGAAGTATAGCATTTAATTAATACAGTTGCTATAAATTAAGCCTGAATTCTTCTTCGATATTGCATGTTATCAGTAATCAGAAAATTTACTTATTTGATGTATTTTCTTCAGGATGATCAAGCTCCTCTTGCCCACATTTACAACATTTTGGGATGGAATGTGATCAAGTATATAGTCAGTATTGGAGCGATATGTGGACTTTTTGCAAGGTGAGATTGATCATAAATTGAGAGCAAAAGTTTATAAATATTATTTAGTTTAATATAAACTGGTTTTAGCTTACTAGGGGCAATGTTTCCATTACCAAGAATTATCTACGCAATGGCTTCCGATGGGCTACTGTTCAAGTCTTTAGGAAAAGTGCATTCTCACTTTCAGACTCCGTTTATTGGAACATTAATTGCTGGAGGTCTAGCAGGTTCGTAGATTTTTCATGAAAGCCTAGCATAAAGTAAAAAAGCAGCCAAAGACACATGCACTAGTTGCTAAGATTAGCGCCTCACTACTTTGGAAGTTTTTCCAGTTAGTTGTGATAGTAGTAGTGAGGGAAGCCTAGCGGCTAGCTTTGGCGCTATTGCAGACCCCGACTATACCAACACCCTCCTCCACATGTATATCCCCTAACCAATCGAATGCTCCTGGTCTCTTGATGAAGGTCAGGATGTCCGACCACTATGCTGAGTATGTAACTTCTCTATCAAACTACATAACTCCGACTACCTCAGCCCTTAGTCCGCTTATACGAAGAAAAGCTTATAAAAGATAAGTCACTGTTCAATGTGTGGGTAAGAACCCCTATCAAAAGATTGAATATCTCTGTTTAGCAGTCATCGTGTCCGATGTTTGTCGGGGCCCATTATGAACCGTTTGGCCTGCCTTCAGTCATTTCTCTCTTGTCACACTTTCCTAGGTTTTTATAACAATTCATTCAGTGCGACGTTGACCTGGTGTCTGCTTAAGCTCACTCTAGGCTCGGGACTGATGGCCTCACCTACCCTACATAATCAGGTCTCTCGTTACCCAGTTCTCCACTGTGTCCAGGGACCCAAAGTAGGGTCACTTCTTTGGTTCCGGCTAAGCTCTGAATAACCGTAGTGGATTTCTGAACTAAAGATAAACTTGTCCTTGTAGATGCTTACCGCCTTTACCTTCATCGATTTGCTTTCGGAGCTACATAATCAGGAGAAATTTTCTTAGAAATGGTGCACTAATTTTGATACCAAATGTATTACAATTACATTACAAATGCTTTTCAGGTGTTCTGGCATGTATTTTTGAGTTAACTAAGCTCACTGAAATGATGTCGATTGGTACACTCCTTGCATATTCAATGGTAGCAGCTTGTGTTTTAGTTCTAAGGTTAGTAGATAACTTCGAAAACTGGTATGACAACTCTTAATTTATTCTCATAGATTAACTTGAAATTCCGGAGGCTTAGTTAACAATGCTACACTATCCCTTTTCTTACGCAATTCCTCCTCCATAACTCTTCTTTCCTTTAACTTCCAGCTCCTCGTTTTCCTTAACTTCCTTCTTCCCTCATTTCTTTCTGACTGTCTGGTATCTGGGCAACCAGGCCTGACAGACCTACAAGACTTCAACCAATCTCAAAGTCCTACGAACCGCTCTGACAGACAATAGAAGAATCGCGGCACTTTTAGCCCTTATTTCTCATTCGTTCCAACCCGCTACTTAAAAAAACCCTTAATTGGTGCTTATATTGTTGAGCAAGGACATCTTTTTAGGTATTCTATGGACCCTGACGACAAAAAAATTGAAGAGAAAAATCCTACAAGGGAGCAAAACTTTTTGAAGCAAATCTTCAACAAACGTACCATCCATCCCAACCCACTAACGCAGAAAATTGTATCTTTGGAGATATCTCTATATTGTAAGATCTAAAACGATTTTTATAATAGCTAAGCGTCGAAACATATGTTATTAGCGCACTCAATTTTGCTTAACTCGCTGCAACGAATTAGGAAGTAGAGCCTTATCCTCATTTTTCAAATGATACAAATCTATTATTTCCGATTCTTTTCAAATATGTTCATACGTTCTTTCACTTTCAGTTATATTCTGCTTCGTATTATCCGCATTCATGACAATATTTGAAGATGATCTATACGATGGCACCCCATGGCTGATGATAGTCTGCAGTATACTCGGCGCCATTGTAATAGTATTATTAATTTTAGTATCATTCCAGCCAACCTCAAACGAAAATTTAGGATTTTCGGTAAGTTCTAGTCGACACGTAAGGGCAAGTGCTGATTGAGCTTTGAACATCCGTTGGATTTTAAACTAGTGACCCTCACGTCTAGATTTAACAGCATTTGACAATAGATTATAATAGTTGTCAATGCAGGTTTTGAAAATTTAGAAATTTTCAAAATATTAAATCTAAATTTTCATAATTATCAAAATATGCAATATCATGAAAATATTACATATTTTCAAAGTTATCATAATATACCGAATTTTCCAAAACTTTCAAAGTATTCAAATTTTTCAAATTTATTCATCTCAAAATTTTCGACATTTTCAAGATTTTCAATTTTCAAAATCACTCTCATATGTACAGCATATCTTGAAGAATCTCACCGATTATACAGGGTGACTTTGAAGTTGAGTCATTAATTTTCAGATAATGATTGTAGAAGGAAGATAAACCAGAATATGTGTGTAAAAATAAAAAAAAAAATTTACCTTGTTTTATAAAGTATCCCCCGACAAGTATTTCAGTGCGGACCTGTATTTGATCGTGAGGTCCCCTGTGAGGTCTTAAGTCACCTGATTCACGAGCCCGTTGTACTACATTAACAAAAGCACGAGGGGTTGGTTGCACTCGATTGGGAAACCGATCCGCATAAACATGTGCCATTTTTTATTTCGTTTGAGCCACGCAACAGACACTATTCACACGCTAACCGACTGACACTGACTGTATGTATAACTGAACTGAATAAAATAATTTATTGTAAAAACATCGTTCCAAATTCTTTCGCTTTTTTGTTTCCGATGCGATGAACCGGTAAGGCGGATTATATCCGTTGTTGCCAAACACGAGCACATGATATTATTATTGAGACAGGGCGGTACTCAAACTTCCAAAGGGCTATAACTTTGTTACTTTAATTTTACCAGAAAAATGGTAAAGGAAAAAAACATTTCTTTTGATCAGATCTACTCATTGTTAAAATAAATGACTCAACTTCGAAGTCACCCTGTATATCAGAAAATTAAGTAGGTATGGCATAATCCCTTCCTACCATTTGCAACTCACAGACCATGCTGACAAATCATGTGCTTATAATCGTTTAGGCTAATTATAGCAAACTGGTAGTCACGCTGTTCCTCCATAGATGACGTTTGCGACATCTTGGCTGTCCCAGTTGTCATGCAAGCTCTAGATAGTAACTGTCAACATGGAAATTACACTAAATATGAGTTTAATCTGATGTATCTGCAGGTACCGTTAATCCCGTGGATCCCTGGTGTAAGCATATTTATAAACGTCTATTTGATGACAAACATTCAAAAAGATACTTGGCTGAAATATACGTACTGGATGATTATTGGTAAGTATACAAGATAACACTTTTTAAGTCATAAATACATTAAATGCGTGATGTTGAGAACGCACTATGCTTCTGACATAGTGTTTGGGTTATAGTAGTCATTATTGAAATGGGTAATAGGGGGGTCAAAACAAGTCAAAAAGTTCATATGACCCATGGTCCAAAAGTCAACAGATTTTTGTCTAAATAGCTTTATAGTTTACAACTTTAACTGCTTTATATCGACCACAATCACCACAATCTTACTAATTTTTATAATCTAATCTAAAACGTGGGTAATTAAAAAATAAATGGCATTAAGTTTTTCTAAGTTAAGCCAAAATTTATAGTCAGTAAGTCGATCCTTCATCACTCTTATCGAACCGGCAATCGATCGCAAACGGTAACAGCGGTTAGTTATCGTTTAATAAACTTTCACACACCAGGTCAAGCGCTGAGACATTTAGTGATAAGTCAGTTTTTTTAATTGTTTGCATTTTACGGGTACATTATCAAATAATGAAATAATACCTAAGAGCCAAAAATAACAAACTCCATCTTTATTTACACTGCGTTCCGTCGTAATTTGCGTCTGGCATTGCGGCGTTGTCAGATTTTATTTTACTTTAAAGTCGCTTTTCTCTAAAAAATGCCGCTTTGACCCATGTAATATGCAACTTTTTGATTCTTTGAACCCCCTCTATCACCCATTTAAATAATGACTATCATAACGTTTACACCCCGTACCCAAACGCGACGCTAAAAGGAGAAAGCATGCTTCGATATCTCTCGGAGCAGCCGCGTAGGCCTAAATACCAGAGCATCGCGGCTGCTATGAGGCGTTTAAAGAAACTTTGATGATACAATAATAATTATAGTGAAGACACAAAATCATTGTACCGAGAAAATTGACATCAATCATTTTTAATTGGGACTTTTTATTTTGTTGACATTTTAAATATTTGGTTTAATTACTTTGTTATTTCCTTGTTTTTGCAACAAAGTAATCACAGAATGAAAGAAAAGCGATATCTAAAAAATGATACATGACACCTTTATCCACATGTGTCTTCAATTGTTAATTTTGCATTGTTTTAGGTCTAATTATCTATGTTTGCTATGGTTTTTGGCATAGTATAGAAAGGACTACTGCAGTTGAGACTGGGAGGATTTCCAAAAATCCAGGAAAATCTGAAAAGTCAAATGCCGTTACCTTGACGCATTAAACATTTTACTTTTCTACAAAGTATTCTTTTCTATTTTTTGTAATATATGACTTATTTTATGCTCGATTTTCTTTCAAGGTTATTTTATAATAATATGATGCAACGATTCAGGCATTTGGCAGGCATAGCTAGCTCGAGTGTGCTGTGCGGAGTCCCTATCTATAGCAACGCCTTGAGTGAAAGGAAACATAGGCAGCTAATGCTCAGAAGCCAGCGAAAAGTTTAGGTCGGCAAATCCAGCTTGAGCCGCGAGATGCGCAGAAAACAGAGTGAGACGGTGGATGTCTGAGAGAAACGGTAATAGCCGACGGATATAGAAGTACAGTGGACGCGGCAAGTTAAGTTACAGCGTACCAATTTCTGTTATTTCATTTAATTTGATGAAAGGCTACCTATTTTACGATTACAATTCACCCTTCGTAGACAACCCCAACTACATTGAGAAAAATTTATAAGAGCCATCCGAATTTGGCATTTCACTAGAACTTGACCGAAAAAATCTTAGGATGCAATTCTTTCATTAAGGGATTGATTGACTAGCTTCATAAAAAACGTGCCTCAGCTCTTCTGAGCCTAATGCTTAGATTTTTTCAGAAAACAGTAAATTGTGTGCAAGGATGTTGAAACCCTATATATTTCATAATATCCTACAATTTATAAGATCTGCCCTGCTCTAAGCTTAATGTCTCAAATAAAGAAATAAATATTGATTCTAACTGAGAAAAAGGTTAAGGTGTGGGCTTTAAGCCCTAAAGATTCTGTTATCACTTTTGAAAATTTTAAAATAGATCACAATCTACTATCCAAACTATCAGCACCTTTAGAGAATTTTACACATAACTCACAAGAATGAATCTGCAAACACTTTCATTTATCATCATCAGCCTCAAAGATTGATGTACGTCTTATCAGAATTGGTTTCATACACTATAGAGTCTCCTACTGATTCTACACCCAAAATTCTGCTAGACTCTTCTCCTTCTGAGTCTTCATCTTCAGTTTCCAAAAAATCACTATCACTGTTAGTTTGATTCAAATTGATAACGAATTCATCCACAACTCTATCAACCGCGGGCTCGCGTTCTATAAATTCTGTTTCAAGCTTCTTTGTATGCTCGCATCTCGTTTTCCACTCATCACCCCCAGATGTATTCAAAAACTCATCGCAGTGTTTTAAAACAGCAGAAAATCGATATTGAAACATGCTAAGTGAGATTTCATTGCTTCCCATACGAGTTCTATAGGGTTCAAGTCGGGGTGATTTTATCTATTCTCTTCTTATAAGCAGGCTTATGCACTTTTATCAAATTGTGCAGTTCTGGCTTAAGCATGTCGTCCGTAAAAAAGATATTTCTGTGACGAAGCTAGATCATCATTTCTGCTTTGGTTGTTGAGGAAGTTGGGCTTTTTTCTGTTTGTTTATTGTGATACGGTGCGTTGTCTATAACAACCACGCTTTTGGCAGGTAGGTTTGGAACTAACTTTTCTTCCAACCACTTTTTATAGTTCTCAAAATTCATCTCATTATGGTAATCGCCTGTACTATACGTAGATTTCCATCTCACATAGGCATTAGCTATGAATCCATTTTCACTGCCGGCATGGAGAATAATCAATCTGTCCCCTTTCGATACCGGTTTTTTTATGCATTCCGTGGAGCCATCTACCCAGGTCTTGGGGTTTGTATGGGAAGCGTATATATATATCTCGTCAGTATAGATCACTGGACGTCCTTCTTGTCTATATTTCTGCATACTCCTCAAGAACATTATACGTAAATGGCGAATTTTTGGTTTTTCCATTAATAGCTTCCTATTGGTCTCAATTTTTTTCCACTTAAGCCCTAATTTATGAATGTCTTTACACAATGTTTCTCTGCTTCCTCGATATCCTACTAGCTCAATCATCTTCCTGTGTACACATTGCAAGGTAGGTACACGTCTTTCGGTTACATGAAAGTTTATTATTGGTCTTCGTAACAATCCTCTGTTGAAACCATCCAGAGCCACCTTACTATTAATATTTCTCCTTTTATTTGGTGTAGAAAATGAAATTGTGCTGATCTCTTGTACATTTAACGCTTCTTTTTTAATGCGTTTGATGGTACTCATACTGATACCTGTAGCTGCAGAGACCAGTTCTTGTATCTGTAATTTACAATAGTTTTGAATAAAAAAGACCCATTTTGTACGCAGGCTATATATGCTATTCCACCAAGATGTTAGGTCTCACCGCTGCTCAAATGGACAAGTAATTCGAGAACAATATTCTATCATTTATACATACATATATATATATATACAGGGTGACTTGTAATGTCACGTATTCCTGTTAAGGGGTGATAGATTAGGTCAAAAGCAACCGATTTTGTCCTATCATGTCCTATCCAAAAGTTAACCATTTTTGAGTTATTTGAATTTTAAGTTTTTTATTTTTTATTCCGATTTCAGACTGTTAAAATTGAAATACAAAAAAACTGCATGCTTGATTTTGAGTTTTTTGTTATAGTCGCATAGCAGTAACAAAATGTTGAAAAGCTACAAACGTTTTAAAATTACGCTTTTTAAATGTATCATTTTGTGCAAATGTGCAAATTATGTAAATAATATCTCTATCTAACAAGCTTTCATTTGAGGTATTAACGGCGCTCTCACAGTCAAGCAGAGTTTCTGAGGGGTATCGGGGGGGTGATAGGGAAATGCTAGTAGGACGGCGTTGTGACAAGGCAAGCGCTCTACGTTAGAAAAGGATAGTAATACGCAGAGGTGTGCTGTTCGCGTGCCTGGTTGAATTTGCATATTGCACAGAGTCGCATTTGATTTGGATATACGATCTAGCGTACGACTGTTTCCCTATTTTGGCGCATAGTATACCCAGCCCTTATTACTCTTATTACCGTTACTGTATTGTTGTATTATCGTGTTGTTATTGTTGTGTTGTTATTGTTTTGTTGTTATTGTTGAGTGTCTTTCTTACCAAGGTGTCAAAAATGAACAATAAGAGAAATAAACGTGGCGTCTCGAAGAAGCCGCATTTAAATACGCACAGGAAAAAAAGACGTTTTCCAGATAGAAAGGTAGGCCAAAACAATTATTTTTTATTTATTAGCATTCATTTTGCCAATAAATTAGACTATACGTAGTTACTATTATAACTATATTTTATGTTATTTTAGCTTAAAAATGACAGCAAGGTTTCGCATATGCATTCTCTAACAGAGACAGATGGCATGGATCTTCAAATTCAGGTGTGTATACCCTTTTTTAGGATATATTTTTACTTTTTTAGTAAGATATTTATGAAACTTTATTGTAGAAAGAAGAAGCGGTCGTTTCACAGACAACCATGGAAACACAATTAGAGGAATCCAACCGTCAAACTGAAGTAAGTCCATTTTCATCAGTATGTATGATTTGTATGTATGTTTTTCAATCAAAGTGCTATATAATGAGTTCGTTACTTCCCACACATAAGCATTCAGTGTTTTCATGTATGGGCTTCCGTCTCTGGGGCGACGGATTCGGACATATTCGGTGAGCTGCTGATAGTGACGATGTGAGTTTTCCGTTTCGGGGATGGACGCAGGGGCAGGGGGAGTACTAGTGCCAGTGTGGAAAAGGGACGGGACTGGGCGCCATCTTAGTCAATTTTTCTTAATGGAATGAGTTTTCTTGAGATATCTTATCTTGAAGCTCTTTATTTTTATTCTAAAATATATTGTCCGCGTATAGATTAAATAATCCGAAATTTCATCATGCTTACTCCGATCAAAATTAACTTGTAGGACCTTTTTCAAAAGCACTGTATATAAGCGGTAAGTTTTGTGTGGGCTAGATCGATAACGGTGTTATTATTAGGTTATTTTTTTATATTCAAGCTAACACGCAGGTCTTACAGGGAAGGGGGAAACATCACACAGACTCCAGCGAATTAGCAAACAGCGCACATCATGACCCCACTTAAGAGACCCGCCGGGTAGTACCTCCATGTTATTCGATGGTCCATGACCGTCTACCACCTACGAGATACCTATAAGATATATCAGAATATATATGCTTGACACTCGAATATCCCGCTTTTCAGAGAATGATCTATAATTACGAGTACAAGGAAACACTGTGTTTTTTTAATGGATTGACATATATTTTAGTACAGTATGAAAGGTTTTTTCAGTAAAGGAGGTGAAATGCTTTAGGGTTTGTATTGCTACTTCGGCGGCTGATTTTTTTTTGCATTATATGTAGTATTCCGCGTATACATCGTGGTTGAAAACGTAAAATGTACATTTTCTCAAAAAATTGAAATGGAATGTCCTGTATTTTTGTATGACTTTAAATTGTCCTTTTTGTGTATAAATGTATTTAAAAATCATTCTAATTAAAATTCTTGTGATTTATCATTGTAGTATATTTTCAGCAAACTATCGAATGCACCAATCATCACGAAGACATTCTTGTAGGACGTCGAATAGTAGATGTAAATTTTTTTTTCAAATCACTTCTGGAAATCTCTCAACATTCGGCAAACTTTGGATGTACCTTGGGAAACCTAATTTTCCTTGAAGAGAAAAGAGAGGGCTTGATTTCTACCTATTTTGTGAAGTGCAATATGTGCAATGCAACATTCAACCTCCACACGTCCGAAAGCAACATCAACAGGGATGCTGTGTTAGCAATGATGAACATTGGTTCGGGTTTTACGCATCTTGAACAGATAACGGCAACCCTTGATATGCCCTGTATGTCAACCAGAATGTATGACAAGTTGCACGATGAGATATGTGAAGCTTGGGAGCAGACAAGCGTAGAAACGATGAAAAATGCAGCAGATGAAGAAAAGGCGCTCGCAGTGACTGATGGACAAGTGGATGCAAATGGGGTTCCGCTAATAACTGTGGTAGCTGATGGAAGTTGGGCAAAAAGATCCTACCATTCTAATTACAGCTCCTTGTCTGGTGCCGCTGCCATAATCGGCTACAAAACGAAAAAGGTCCTTTTTCTAGGAGTAAGAAATAAGTATTGCACCATTTGCAAGATAGCCGAGAGGGCCAATATGTCTCCAACTAAGCCACACAAATGTTTTAAAAATTGGACTGGTTCATCAAGCAGTATGGAGGCCGACATAATTGCGGAAGGCTTTTCTAAGAGCTTGGAGATGTATGGCCTAATATATGACAAGTTGATTGCTGACGGTGATAGTAACTGCTACAAACGAGTACTCGACGCTCATCCGTATGAAGATGTCATAGTAGAAAAAATTGAATGTAAAAATCATCTGCTGAGGAATTACTCGAGGAAAATCCGAGATCTAATCAAGGATACTTCAGCAGGACCTCTTGTTTTGCGTAAGCAGATTCAGGTGTGTGGAGCCGACACAGATGTGCTTTTTCATTTTAATTTTATTCATCCTCATAGATGTACGAAATGTATTTCTGAATTTAAAAAACAACATTAATTTGCAGAAGATAGTACTTTAGCTGTTTCATGAAATATACTAAATAATATTATTTTTAGCAAAATCAATTAAAACTACGATGGGCAATCAGTAAAGCCGTGTCCTATCGGAAAAGTGAAAATATAGAATTTACTCAAAAAGTAGAGGGCTTAAAAAAGGATATACAAAACTCCATTAGCCATATATTTGGTGAGCATAAGGACTGCCAAAACATACGTTACTTTTGCAATAAGCCATATGTTGCACATGGAACCACGATGAGTGATCTGAAAATGACAGGTAGGGTTGTGTTATAAATGGGAAATATATTGACACAGTACTTTCCATGCATCAATATGATAATTACGCGAAAGATACAGCGTTGGCCTATTGGATGCATGTTTAATAGCAACTTGGTTTTATTCCATATTTTTTTTTAGATTTGCACCAGAGGCTGATATCATTTCTGGCAATTCTGATTAAAAATGCAGTAAGTTTACTTCATGATGTCGATAATAATATTGTAGAGCAGTTTAACTCAATCATAGCTAAATTCATTGGGGGTAAACGGATTAATTATTGCAAGAAGAGATCCTACCAAGGAAGATGTGCTGCAGCCGTAGTGAGCCACAATACACAGCGGCCTGTTTGTGTGATCCAAAAGCGGCTACTCCCTAGTTTCAGTCCAACCTCTTTGATTGCTAAAGTTGAAGAAAAGAGAGCGCACAAAAATCTGAAAAGGAACCTGAAACCAAGGAAAATTAAAATCAGAGATAGTGATACTAAAGAGAACGCATCCTATGGGGAATTCTGTGAGAAGCCTGACATGAGCAACGAAGATATAGAGGCCGCCAAGGTGGAATTCTTGAAAAAACTTGTAAAAACCGACTCCGAAATTTCCCAGATCGAGCAAGCCACAAAATCTCAGGATTGCAATTTGTGGCGTCTTCATCGAAGAATGAGGTTGACTGCGTCTCGGTTTGGTGAGGTTTGTAGAAGAAGAGATACAACAAGTTGCAGAGCTCTAGTAAACGCCATAATATACCCAACCGAATTCTTTAGCAAGGCATGTGAGTATGGAAAAAAGCATGAAAGCGTGGCAAAAGCAGAAATAGAGAAGTCATATTCGCAATCAGAAGTACAATCTTGCGGGTTGTTTATTGATAGGACCCATCCATTTCTGGCAGCATCGCCAGATGGTTTGATAGGCGAAAAAGGTCTGCTAGAGATTAAATGTCCATGGTCGGTTAGAGAAATGACCCCTGAAGAGGGGATTCTGAACAAAAAAATTACGTTTTGGATAAACGATGAAATAAATAAAAAACATAAGTGGTATTACCAAATTCAAGGGCAGCTACACGTTGCACAAAGAGAGTACTGTGTGCTTGGTGTTTGGACCCCGTATGGCTTGAAAATAGACGTCATTCAAAGGGATGACGTTTTCTGGAAAAATGAAATGGAAGAGAAATTGAAATTTTTCTACATGAACTGCTTGCTCCCAGAACTGGTCGATCCCAGGAAAAGCAGAAATATGCCAATCCGCGATCCCGATGCGATCTTGAAGGCACAAGAGAACCGTTTGAACAAGAAAAGAGTTCTTGAGAATTGGCTATTTTTGCTGTACTCGGGTACCAAAATGGAAGAGATTAGCATATTACATTGTACGCCGTTACTAACCACTTCGTGTCGGCAAATGCGGTGTGCAGATCTCGCATTAGCAGCGATGTGCGAGATGTTATGCTAATTTCTTCCATTTTGGTACTAGTACCAGACCTTCACTATTATTGTATATTATGTATATATTGTTTATTTAAGTAAAAGTCAATCGTCAGGCATAGCACGTAGCATCGGCTAGCTTTATCGAGTCTGTTAGATCGAGAATATTGAAATGTCACATTGACACGTTAAGCGCCACAGTAGAATCTGAAAATCCAGTCCACTGGGAAAAACTGTTATTATCGTCAAATTAGCTTGTTTTAAGTTTCGGTTTAATATTTTGACTTGACTTTTTTCTCAAATCCTATGATTTTTCCCCTTTTTGATTTTTTTTCTGAGGTACTAGTTGTATTTCGCGTGGCCCACAGACCAGTCGGGTCGCGTGGCACATAAGTCGCGTCGCGTTTTTTGCAAGTCAAGACTTGCATCATGTCGCGCGTTGAGCACTATTTCGTGTCATTTATTATTGATGCGTTGTTCTTATTGTACGTCATCTTGTCCAAATTGCTTTACTGTTTATAAACTATTGAATACCAAATTTAGTGATGTCGCATTACGAAGCGGAGCAAAAAAGGCTTGAACAATTGTGGAATGAAATACTATCGGATGAAGAGAGTGGCAGTAGTGAGTTATGTGGGGATGTATACTTATCTGATGCGTATTCTGCAAGTGGTAGCGAATCAGATAGTAGTTGTAGTAATTCTTCCATATTTATCTGTATTACTGTTTATTTAGACCGTTATTTTGTTTATTCCTGCATAAGACTTTATCAATCTGTTTAGTTTATAAGAGTTCCTCCATATTTGTGTTCGTTAGAATATCGACATTTACTATAACTTACTGATTTGCTGTGAAATTACTTTGTTCATTTTTTAATGAGAATGTCTGATTATTTTATAAGATTTGCTTTTTGTTTTAGATTTGTAGAATATCCTCTTTTTGTAAAACTCTATAAGCAAGGTGTTTTTTAATGTTGTCATTTCCAATTGAGTATAATTTGGTCCCTCAGGCCACGGACTCTTGGTTCCCGTAAGAAAATCACATCAGAATGGCACACGTCTTACGTTACGCGGCCAAATATAACTGCCAGCAGTGAGACATATCATGTGTGTCACGAGGTCCAAAGTGCCAAATGAGGTGCGACACACGCATTATATCTCATGATGCTTATCGTGTTAAGTTTATTTTACGATACTTCATAAGGTTAAAGCTAAACAGCAAGTGACATTTTATTTGTGTTAAATGCGTTCACTATAATTATTATTTTTAACTAAAAAGATTACCGCCTCCAATGACCCTGGAACCACCTGGAAGCTTTTGGTCGCAAACTTCTGTATTTTACCACACATGTCTTTTCATTTGATATGTAAATTGGGGGTTTTGTACAAACATATTATGTAACTCGCAATTTCGAAACGGCGGCAATCTTGGAATAAAATTTTTAGTGAAGTACTGTATTCTACAAGGCGACGACTCTTATTTGAGATATTAGCAAGTATGTTATCCGCCATTTTGTGACGGCCGCCATCTTGATCTGAAACTGTTTTCGTATTACTGTTTTGTAGAAGTGCTTCCATTTGATATCCATATTGGGGTGATTGAACAAAAATGATTTTTTGTGGGATCACCTCTGAAGCATGGGCTATTGTATAAAAAGAAATTATCAAAATCGATAAAAAATTTCCCCTCTTTCATTGAAGTCTATTAAAAATGTCACTTACTGGTCCGATGTTTATCTCGAACGACCGACGTCAAAACTGCTACTGTTTAACTTGGGACAACAAATTATCTGAATACGTCTTTTCTTAGTCCGTACACACCGCCGCGTTGCTTCGACTGGCAGCACGAGATAGTGGATAAAATTCGTGTAAAAGCCTATTTGCAGAGGTTTTCGCGCTTCAAAATTCAGGCTTCATTTTTGAATATTTTTGAATGAAATTTTCACAGTGCACTAAAAACAAGACTCCACAGGGTGCTATAGAGCCACTTTTTCGTTTTTTCCTCTGAGTTATTTTTAAAAAAATCGAGAAGTTGAACAAAAATTATCTGCACTTCCACCCACCATAA